GAGAAGCCCCTTTTTTTCTTCCCTTAGCCTTCTTTACCACATTAACAGAGATACAACAAGGACCAGACTTCAATCCCCCATGGCAGATCAAATATTAGCCAAATCAACTAATAGGAGCAACAACACTACTCCTCAGTTTCTCACCAAAACAGAACAGCAGCAATAGCACTACTTCTCAGTTTTCAGCACAGCAGCAAGTACTCAGTTTCTTCCCCAAATCAGCACAGCAGCAGCAAATACAGCAGCAACAGCAAGCCAAGCGCCCACTTCACCTTCTCAAGTAGCAGCAGCACCAACACCTCACCAGCAGCAGCAACAACCTGCTCCTCTGCCACACGCCGTCACCAGCTAGCCCTCTGCACGCGTCGTCGCCGTTGGTGCTCCCTGCCGTCGACACCGTCGCTTCCTCACTCCACGTCCCGCCTTAGCAGCGCTGTCGTCCTGCGCCGGCACAGCGCCGCTTCCTGCCGCGGCCACCAACCGTCTCCGCCGCGTGCGGCCACGCTGGCCTCGCGCGTGCGTCGTCGCGCCGCGCCAACCTCTCCTCGGCCCGCGCCGCTGCGCCGCGCCGCTGCGACCTCGCCAGCTAGGGTTCAACCTCCCCAGTCGCCGGCGACCCGCTCTGATACCATATTATTCAATTTGGGGAATTTTTCTAGGGTTAGCCTACTCAGCTCACCCCTTCCTCATCTATTCTATTAGCATAACACTTTACAGATAGGTCCTTGGTACAATACATATTTACACCAACATGTGCTAACCAACCGATCGATCAGCTCTGATAACCTGCCTTGCTTAGACTCCCTTCGTTAATGCAATCATTGCTCTAGAATAATGCTGCATTTGATTAGCAGTGCTGATTGGTTGGTTAGCACAAATTAGCAGAACTTAGACGTAAAATTTTAAATAAATTTTACAAAACTACAAATACTTATATTAAACCTCTAGTCACATGGACGTTGGAAGGAGAGAAACAATAGAGTCTTCAATCAGCAGCAGAAAACCTAGGTGGAGGTGGTAAGGGCAATGGCCGCTAAGGCAGAGCTCTAGCGGTTAGCCAGATCGGCTGTTCCAGAGTTTGTGTTACAATCCACAGAGGAAAGGTCGCAACAATGGACCGGAGAATAGATTTTAAGTGATCTCTGTATTTCTGTATCCCGTCTTCTTCACTTATTGAATTTTAGATGTAAATAAAGTTTTTTTCCCCCTTAATACGAAGATGCGGTCCTTCCATATTCCCAAAAAACTTATACAAAACCGTTGTGAAAAAAAACTTGAGAAAGTGTATCATGGAACTATAAATTTATAACCAAATTTATCATGAAACAAAATATTTAAGGCAAGATATCGCAAAACGATGACTTTCGAGTTTAGATCATTAGCGTGGTTTTATGATAAAATTAACACATAGTACATAGATTGCGATACATCAAATACACTATTGCAGGCCGGCGCTCCCAACGGTGAGCTCTCCATCCCTCTACTCATTTTTTTTTTCATTTCTCTCTTTTTTTAGTGCCAACTAGGAGTTAGGAGTACACGTGGTTGGTCAAATCTCTACCAGTCATATCATTACCTCGTTAGTACTACATTTGTACTGATTTTAAAATATAAGGAATGTGTTATACGAAAAAAATTTGCAAATATACTTATTTTTTTCAATAATTTATATTTATATACATGAATGAAAAGATTGTGCAAAAATATACCCGTCCCGCGAAATAAAAATGCGGGACCACGGCGGTTCCGCAGATTCAAAACACGGGAGCGACGATCCCGTGGGACGACCGCGAGACCATCAAGTTCCCGCAGCTCCAAAACGTGGAACCGCGACGGTCCCGTGGCGCCAAAACGCAGAACCGCGGTGGCCAGCCATTTCGGCACTGCGTAGTACTGTTTGTACACCGTTTTGATACTGTTCAAGGGCTGTTTGGAACTGTTCATGCGCTGGTGCCGCGTCTCCATTGTGCGGAACGGAGACTGGAATTGTGTAAAACAGTACCGAAACAGTGTCGGGTACAGTGTCACGTAGTAAAAATATGCTGGTGCCACGGTTCCGCACGCCAGCGCTGCGGAAGTGAGCCGGTTCCGCGTTCCCGGCTCTGGTCCCGCAGCCTCGTTCCGCGCGAGCGCCTCGGCCGTCTGCTCGGCGCCGCCACCTCGTGCTTTAGTTGCGCTCCCGCGGAACCGACCCGCGGATTAGGGATATTTTCACAAATTCTTCACTCTAGCGTATGTAAACGTAATTTTTTTATAAAAAAATAGATATTTTCAAATTTTATTCCGTGTTATACCTTAGTTTCATGCTCCTTCACAACTTTTAGCCCTCAAGGTTTATCCTAAAATATAACAACTTGTTCATCAACGTTCTCTTCTTAATAAATCACAATCCTCCATCATTTAATTTTCTCACCTACCTCCACTTTTCAACCAATCACAACATTCTTCTATTTAATTCTATCTATTTTATTAATACATGTGTTCAACCTTAAAAATCTTTATATTCTGTAACGGGGAACGGAGGGAGTAGTTAAGAAACATAAGTTGGACTTTTCCTATGTTTCCAAACTACCATGTCTCAGCCCCTCTATTCCAGATTTCTAACCCTTTGCTTGTAACATTGGTGGGCTAAGCTTATGCGCTATCATCTCACGTTGGGCTTATGCGCTATCAATTTTTTCTCTGCTTATTACGTTCTGACCATGGAACATGTTTGGGAATACCAACTGAAAAAAAATCCTCGCGAAAGAAATATGGACTGAAAAATAACAAGTGCACCATCAAATTAGTGGCAAGAACGATAACGCCTTTTCATCATCGGTGCAATGCAATCGTAGTCATCATGTAATAGTACATATCTACGTCGCTGCTTATTGCTGAGATATTTATCAAAAATTGATCATCAATTGGTTCTACACATACACGGACAAAAGCTGGCACTCTGTAGTCTGTACCCGTATACACACGGACAGTTCGTACCTATACCATTACCATTACACCCACTCTCAAGTCTCAACTGGAACTAGCCAAGCTCCGTACGCGTAAACCGGGGGAGCTCGCCGCGCCGAGGCCCAAGCGACCACCGTCCATCCTTGCACGCCGGCGTCGCCACGACGCCACCGCCTTCGCGGCGCGCCGGGCACGGCAATGCGAGGCTGCTCCGGCGAGACCGGCAGAACGGCGGTGGGCGGTGAGCTATATGACGCGGGCGCCGTCACCGGGCTCGCAGACCAGCACGCGGCGGCCCGGCGGGATCTTGCTCACCAGCTCCGGCTGCGCCTTCTCGTACTCGGCCCGGACGAACGCCGCCGCCGCCTCCGCGTGGCCGCTCTCCACGACGGCGAGGCAGCAGCCTCTGAAGCCGGCGCCGCTGAACCGCGCGCCGAGGACGCCGGGTGCCTTGAGGAGGATCTCGTACAGCTGGATCATCTCCTTGCTCCCTGCCAATTTGTGAGAGCAAGCAGCCATTGAGTTTTTAGTGATGGTTATTATCTCAGATGTCTAACGTGCGATCGACATACCGCATTCATAGTTCAGTATGGAGCTGCGACCAGATGCAGAGATCAGCTGGCCAAACTCACGAAGATCTCCACGAGCCCACGCATCTCTTCCTGAACACAGAGTATCCGGATATTGTTATACTATAATATGTCATTGCACTTTCAGTTCAAATTTGGTAAAGATGCAGGTTCGAAGAATATATGTACTCTACTAAGCATTTTGATTCCTAAGATGACAACTCAATATGTTGATTCCTCGTGCGTATTGGAACACAAGAAAGAATATCATAATCTTGCCTCTTTCTTTTGCATATATGGCTTTAAGTTAAGTCACAACGAATGCCAAATTTTAGTAGTAAAGGCAGTTCATCTATGGAGACAATAGAGGTAGCAGAAGTGTGCAAATATAGTTCTTCATGATGTAAGGTCTACAGCAAGTAGTACAATCGCTAATTATTACGTAATTTGCTATTTGTGTTCATGAAAGTACATATGCATCGAGTAGAAATTTAAATGAGTGGACCAAATACTAAAAGAGCGCACGGAAAAATATTTGGTTGTGCTCACCCTTGACAACTCGCTTCATCTCAGAGAAGTAGTGCTCAGCTCTCCTAGCGAGATTTTCTTCTAATATACACTGCAAGAAAAGAGTGTGATGGAATGTATTCAGATTCAAAATATGGTACAAGTAAGAAAATATTTTAAGAGAGAGAATTCAAATGACAACCTTCTGAGCCTCGTATATGGCTGGGTTAACTGTGTTAGAAGAAAACAAAATGGTATCAACCTTAAATTTTAGAGTTGGTCATAACAAAAAGTACATATAAATAGTTTACCATTACGAAGAATACTTGATGCATCTTCACAGCCTGAAGCACTGGGAATTCAAACAACAAAATGATAATTGAAATTGGGTATGTTCTGAACAAAAAATCTGCCAACATCCATCATAGACGAATCTGCAAACTGAACAAGATGCATATTTGCCTGACAGAATTTGTTATACTCAAACAAAGCTCACCATAAAAGAGCACGGGCAGCCTCTTTGCACTCAAAAACTCGCGTATTATATCCACTCTTCTTCGGTAGGTTATGTTGCAGCCCTGAAAAGGCTAACAAAATCTTGAATGGTAGTTCTCCTTGACATTGCTGACTTTTACTCAACACTGAGAAGTAGACGTAGGAATGTGTGGCGGTCTACTCAAGCAAAGAGAGTCTCAGTCACTATAAATGCTAACAGAGAGCATTGAAGTGCACATTTTCTAAAACTATGCGCAATGAAACCACAAAACAAAGAAAGAATTGTCGAGAAGGATTGAAATAATTATATGGACCCAATGCAATATCATAAAAAATGAACTTGTGTGAATAAAAAAAAGCCTTTTTTACAGAAAAAATGATATACCAGTCTCAAAACTTTGAAAAAACAGAAGTCATACTGAATATATTACTAAAATAGTAGACTTTCAGAAAATACAAGGGAAAGTACTACCTTGCAGTCCATGAAGGTGAGATAGCCATACCGTGAGAGCAAAATAGCTGATGGATCCAGAATACCATTTTCAAGACCCAAATATTTATTTTCGATGGACCTGACAAATAGGGATATGAAATTAAGAACTCTGCTAGTGACCATGACTCAATGAGCTAATAAATCTTATGTAGCAATATTTGATTGTTGCTTTAGAACATGGCAATAGTAGATAGTTGTGGGGACTTCAACATAGATACTTGAAATTAGAACTGTTCTGGATCCCATGTATGAATTCATAATGTTAGTCCACATGGAATGCTTACTAAAAGGAAACAAACTCACTTGTCCAACTGAATGTTGTCCACTGGTGATACAACCAGATCATTCACATTTTCTAAAGCCATCAAATAGGCAATCCCGACCTGATGAGGAGCATACAGAAATAGGCATTTGATGATCACATAACTAACCAAAGTATCAATTATATTAATAATTCTTTTGAGAACCTAGAGTAAGAACTGGAAGTTTCTGTCCTTGTTATGGTGAGCTGAAGGTTTAGAAGATACTAGTACAAAGTTAGTAGCTTCACAAATTTGCTTTGAACTCCAAGTCAAATGTGAGCCAAGTATATGTCATGATTATGAAATACTGCATATTCGATTCACAACTAGGTTGGCACTAAACTCATATTTCCAGTTTTCTACATATTACAGATGATTGTGCCAGCAATTTTAACTCAAATATACATGACATATCAGTTAGCTTACTGCTGCAGATGAACTGAGCCCTGAACTGTCAAGTCCTTTCACACCAGAAATATATCCTATAATACCCTACAAGAAGTCATCTGTCAATATTATTTAAAGCATAAGATATTCTGGACTTTGAATTATTAAATGTAAAAGTCACCTTCTTGAGATCATATCCAAAATTTTGCAGGGCATAAACAGCACCTCTTGCATAGCTCTCCCAGTTTATGTTTTCTGGGTTTTCAATGGGCTTTTGCAAGTCATCAACTCTGTTGAAGTGGTGAAACACGTAAACGAGTGTCGTCTAATTTAACAAAGCGAGGATTTAGTGATGGAAACACAGCTATAACAAAAAGGGTGAACAGAACAATGAGAAATAGGTGAGGCAGCACGTCTATTGGAAAAAAAAAAAAGGCTAACAGAGATTTGAAAAAAAAAGTGCATTTTGTCAAAGTTGCGCATGGATGAATCAGCTGGCTATGCTATTTGATGTTAACCAAGAACACCAAAACATGGTGCAACCGCAAACATACCTGAATCGTATCACACCTTCGAATTGACCAGATTGGAGTGAAATCTGTAAAACAAACCAGAGGATTACCAGTGTTATATATAAGCATATTTTTTTATGACAGGATGGATAATGTGAGTGAGTCAGCGTGTAGAAATTATCATTTGAATGGAGACAATATGTTCTGATTGATGTATATTCAGAAAAGGTAGGAGAAAGAAAGGGGAAAAGGGGCAATTAAGGGAGGATGGTATGTTATTTTGGCACAAAGAACTTAACTTGGAATTTCAGGGGAGCATACAGATAAAAGTGTTTAAGCACAATAACTCACCTCGGCATCATCAGAGGCCACAAAACCGAGAAGTACACCATAATTAATGGTCATAGCTGTGACAGTTCCACCCTGCCGTAATGCAGAACAGAATAGAAGTTAGCCAACCACCATATCCCTTGCAGAGGTTCTTTTGAATTGAAGTCAACCCATGATATTTGTAACAATAAGGTGTTCATGGGAACACATTTCCATAAATACCCAACTAATATAGCTCTCCTTGAAGTGAATTATTTAACATTAGAGGGTATCCAGCAATTTTTGAAATGATAAAACTAATTCATTACCTTAGGTAGAGTATAACCTAAGGTAGATACCGCCAACAACAGGTTAAGAACTGGTAAAAAAAATAGTTACTGCAAGGATGTTTGTGTTGATTCTAGTCAGTTAGAGATGGTGATGATCCAATATACAGAACTTTTCTCTTACTGCTGACTGATTTAATATGTTATGACCTGAAAATTTATTCCCACGAAACTAAGTAAATTAGCAGTTTATGCAACTTCCACCCTTTTAAAGAATTACTACGTGTGCTGCTCAGAAATAAAGAGAAATTGAATTCCACCAATATTGATGGATCTGCTTTGTAACTCAAATAAACTCAGGTTTACAGACTTAATCCAAAGACTCTCCAAATACAAACCCAAGTGGGAGCTTTATTCTATTTGTAGGAAAAATCACCACCACTATGCTAGTGCTAATATATTTCCAACATTTGCAGAGGAAAATTCTTATAGCTAGGTTTATTGTCAAGTACTTAACACTCCCCCTGAAAATCATCAAGGTCTCATCAACTCATTCCACACATGTATAGAACAGTCCAATTATGTCACATTTATGCGGCGACGATATGACATTAAAGCACATGCCATTTATGCTACATTGCTGCCTGACTATACACATATACAAATTTAATATAAGAACACATTAAAATAATTTGCAAACATACAGTTTATACAACAGTCTTAACAGTGGGTCACTCTTCTGAAAAATGAAAACATCAAGGACATAATATCTACAAAGTTACCTGATGATCGATGTGAGCCCCCAGAGGGCAAATCCTGTAGGGGCAAGCAACCACCCTGACCTCTCCTGCACCCCTTCCACTAATCTCCACTACCTTTGCTCGAACAACATCAAGCTGCATCATCAGAAACAATTGAGAAGGATAAGATGACCATACATAACAGGATGAACCTAGTTGAGTACTCTAAGCTACTCCTATCATAGATGTATAGTAACGTGTAAGTTCAACAATGTAGTTAAAAGAAAATAAAAGGATATTCAAGGCCATGCAACTTTCACTAGAGCAATTTAAATTCCGCATGTCAGATTGGTTATATCAAAACTCGAGCTGATAGGAGAAAAACTCATTGCTCCTTGGCTAGAACTATCTTCAAGACTCATTGGGCTAAACATGGTCTCATGCTGCTGGAACACCAGAAAAGATTCAGATTTAGTTGGGAGCAGATGACTTGTCAAAAAAAAATACAGCTGTTTGAAAACTACAGCACATTGTATCGTATCCTGAAGCCATCCACATCACTACATAGTCCAAAAGCATAGTGCACATCCACCCCTTCCCTCTTCGACACATCATCAGAAAGCACAAGCAAAGGTACCACATTATCTTATCCCAAAATTCACATCAATTCTCAATAAGTGCTAGCATCCATGGACCATGGTTGCCACATCAATTCGAGCTAACATTACCATCTCACGTGTACTGCCAATCCATACTTTCCTCTCTTTTATTATGCACCACCACTCTACCAAACTGAAAAACTAAAATCGATTCCTTTCCAAATAACAACAACAACAACAACAACAACAATAATAATAAAAGAGGTGCATATTTGAATGTTTTTGCAAACATGGTAATTAGATGTAGATTGACCACCAACCAAGCAGTGGGAAAGCAGGTAATTCTACTACACTGTGACGCCGCCATCGATCGATGGCCACGGGGGGTCACCGCCCCGCCGGTGCTGCCGCCGGCGCAGCAATATTTCGCCGGAGAAGTCGCGATCCCCAGCCCCGCAAGCATTCGCCCCCCAAATCAAACAAAGCACTGAAGCAGAAACGCGAAAAATCTACGGGGCCGCGCGGGATCGGAACCACCCGCACCGCTCTACGAGAGCGACCAATGCCACTGGGGCGGGGCACCTTACCTCCCCCTCCGACGGCCACGACGCCGCCCCTCCTCCTCCGCCGCCGGGCGCCACCATTGCTCCTCTCGCCGTCGGCGATCCACCCGCGCCGCGCCGCCGCTGCACGTGCGGCCCGCGAATGAGTGTGCCTTTTGCCTGCCTTCTGCCCCAGCGTGCCGCTTGCACCTCCTGTATTTATTCCTCCGCGCCGCACGATATGACGTGGCACGTTTGTTTACAGGCTTTGTACGTGTCAGGGTAAACAGTACTCTGTTTTTTTTCGCGGGCACACAGCAAACGCATATGCGGATACTGCGCACCACTACACCACTGCACACGTAACACCGAACTTATATTCGTGGATATTAAAAATTTGTATCCTGTTGAATAGGGTCATGCATCCATGACTCCGGTACTACACTAAGTTGTAATCTTTATATTTTGATTTGAGGCATATTGTATATGGTGAACGTAGTTTTTTCTCATGTCTCTTACTAGTGTATTAACTACTTTATATTACATATCTCTTTGATTTTTTTATGATTTTTTCAAGTTTAATTAAATTTATAGGAAATTTTAATAATATCTACAATATCAAATTAGTAGTTTTAATTATTTTGATAATATGTATGTTTTGTGTTGAAAATGTTGTTACATTTTTTTTTTATAAATTCAATCAAACTATAAAAAGTTTAGCTATAAAAAAAATTAAAGCATGACCTATAATATAAAAGAGAGCGATATAAATGTATTCCTAGATAGGATAATTCTGTTACAAAGTTGTTTCTGGTCTTATCTACATAGATCAGAAAGAGTGGTAGTAAACAGTAGGGACAAATCACGTGCATATCCACAAGACCAAATGCAATTAACCCCACCTTTGGAGTGATTCCACTCATGAGCCTTAGTGAGTGGGGTTGGGTTTTGTCCCATTTACGGAGCTGGTTCTCGGTGGAGTACACTTGGGTTGGTGCGATCACCACCACCCAAATCACGGGTCGCTACCTGTCATTGTGTTGGTGTGAGCGCCATGTAATAGTTCCAGCTAGTTTTGACAGAGAAAGTGTCGGTGGTTCCCGTACAACCCGGCTTGGACTGGGTTCGGGAGCTCAGGTAGGTCGGAGCAACGCCGAGCAGCGGCTGGACCGCGCGAGGGGACCGCAAAAACCAGCCGAGGTTTCAGCGGCCTTCCAGTGTAGCCGCCTCGGTTTTCCGTCCTAAAATACAGCACATCCGATCTCATAGTAATTATATTTTTAGAATTAAAATTTATCTAAGGGTGTGTTTAGTTGCAAAGTTTTTTTTTTCAAACTTCCAACTTTCCATCACATCAAACATTTCATACACACACAACTTTTCAGTCACATCGTCTCTAATTTCAACCAAATTCTAAACTTTGGGCCAATCTAAACACAGCCTAAAAAAATTGTCTTAATCCTTCAGAATTGTCCGCGGTGCCAGACTTGTTAATTGTGTGTAGACTTTGCGCTGTCTAAGTGCTATGCGTGTTGCATGTTTGCGCCTCATATAAGCTGGAAAATCCCCAGCCTTTTCGCGTTTATTTTGTTTATTGTTGTATGAACTCATATGATTTCTAGTAAAAAGTTGGGCGCTTTGCGCCTTTTCTCCAAAAAAATTATCTAAAAAATAATTGTTACCATATATTACTAATTGTTCTATCAATCACTTCTCATTCAATTTTTTTTCACATTTTACTCTTAACCACCCTCCTACTCTTACCTATTTCCTCCGTAAAAAAAAAGCCAACATCGTATTAGGATGTAATACATCTTAGTACAACGAATCTGGATAGATATATCCCATCATATTACAAGGTTGTCTTTTTTTTGGGACGGAACGAGTATACAACATAACGAGGTGCATCGTAGTTTTTCTCCTCAAACCTTAGTTATACTAAATAACTTAGAATTACAATGATTTTAGGACATAGATAGCAGCAACTCAGAGTAAGTTTTAAAACTATATTTTATGTCTCAAAATATAAAGTATTTTAAGTGAATATGATAACATTCTATTCCACGAGTCTGAAGAAGTTAGAATGTGTAAAATCCAATAAAAATCCTTTATATTTTGGGATGAATAGGAGTAGTCAACCACTAGCTCTAAAAAAATCTACAGCTAATTTAATAGCCTATATGTACATAGTTTCGTATAGATATGTATTATACCATTAATACTTGACCTATCTATCATACACATGCAATATATTAAAAACTGTAGCATGTTTTTCTTCTCTCTACACATGCAATATATTAAAAACTATAGCATTTTGGCAGGCTCAAGGGTGAGTGGGTGAGAAAGACACTACAGGTGCCAGTTTTATCACTTCCGACATCTATAGTGTTGGCATCTATTTGATGTTTTGTAATAGTGACATGTGCTTGTGGTTAGCTGTCACGCCCTGAAGTTCCCCTTTTTAGCTTTAAAATTTGTTAAATAAATCGCCTAAAGAAATTGTTGAATTAACCTAGAGTTGAATCCTTAATTAATAAATGCAAATAATAATCGGAGCGGACATGTGGAATTTTTCTTGGGTTCTACATGTCAAAATATGCTAACAGGATTTTTAGTGGAATTTTCAGAGCCTTGGAAATAATTTTAACCAATTAAAATTGAGCACAAGCAATATTAAATCCCCCTGGGAAAATCCTTTTTCCCTTTTCTCTTTTCTTTTTCCTCCTTTTTCCTTTTCTTGGGCCGTCGGCCCATTCCTTCCCGCGCCGGCCCGCTTCTCCTCCCCTCCCCAAAGTCCTCCCTCCCTCCCTCTCTCCTACGGGCGCCGACAGGTGGGGCCCACCTGTCGGTCGACTCCTACCTCCGACCGTTGGAGCCGGAGCTCCAACCGCCCGCACCGACGGCGCCCCACTCGTCCACTCGCCCCACGTCACCGAGCCCACGTCGACGCTCCCTTCCCCACGCCTTCCCGACCCGCGTGCGCGGCACCGAGAGGGCGGGATTCAGGTTTTGAATCCGTCTCTCTCTCTCTCTCTTTCTTTCTCTCTCTCTCTCTCACCTCACCCAACGTCGCAGCACAAATCGGGGGGCTTTCCCGGCCGTGACCGCCCCCTCCCCGACCCCCTATAAAGCTTCCCCGCGTCCCACTCTCCCTTTACACTTTTTTCCCAGCGTTCTCACATCCACTTCTACCGCGCACCGCGCCGATCTCCTCTAGCGCCGCCACCGAGCCAATCCCACCACCGCCGTTAGCTTCTCCCCCACCAAACATACATCAGCCCACACAATCCCAATCAAATCCTCCCGCCAGAACACCTCTCTCTCCGTGCCACAGTGAATTTCCACGCACTTCCAATCTCCAGCCAGCAACACTAGCTGCCGTGGGCTTCATCCCAACCCCTAATTCCTCTCCATTTTCCTCCGTAGGTGCAATCGCCGCCCGTCTGCCCCTCCGCTCGTTGGGTCATCGCCGCCGCCGTTTCATCCTTCGCGCCGCACGCCATGCTCGCCGGTGAGGATCCCCTCTCCTCCCTGGTCCCCTCTCTCTCGTTTGCGCCGCACCCTCTCCACGAAAACCCCGTCGCCTTCGGCCGACGCCGCCGCCTCCCACCCCGCCGCTTACAGCCGTTGCCTCCGACTCCCGCGCCACCGCCGATAACCGTGTGCCCCCGCCAGCTCCACGCGCGCCGCTGCCCCATGGCCGGCCGGTCGGCTCGGAGCCGAGCCGAGCCAGGCGCCACCCCCCCTTTGGAGCCGCGGCCGGTGGGACCCGCCTGCCAGCCGCACCCCCTCCCGCCTTGTGCCACTGCCAGTGGGGCCCACGTGCCGGCGCCCCCTCTCTCTCTTGAGCCGCTGACAAGCGGGGCCCACCTGTCGGCGCAGCCGCCCCCCCCTTAGATGACGCCAGCCCTGGGATTTATTGCGCGATAAATTATTTAAGGACTTTTTGTTATAGTAATAAACACAGATAATCTTCTAAAAATTATATCTAATTCATCCGAGCTCCGATTAAGTCCATTCAAGTCTCATTAAATTCATAAAAATGCATAGAATCCATTAAAAATGGTTTTGTTTCCTGTTTCAGTAGTCTTATAGCCTGCTTTGCTTGTGTGCTTTGTTTGTCGCGTAGATTTCGGTCGTTTCGTCGATCCGCGGTTTCTCGAAGAAGTTGTTGTGGTCTCATCAGTGCGAGAGCAAGGTAAGTCATGCTTTACATTTGATCATATTGTACCCAATTTACAAACACCCTGCATTTCTATCAAATGTTGCACTCTTTTACAATGTCATGTGGGATGGGTCCTATTACTCAGCCATACATTGTTTACCTTATGCCATTGATAACTTGGGTATCAAAATGATTAGATGTTGGTTTAGGAAATGCTTAGCCATGCTTAGTTCTACTAGTACACAAAAAGGGAATCTCATTAAAGCATAGACTTTGATTATTGGCAATAGCTTTGGATTAGTGGCACCGTAATGGTGTTGGCTTATTAAAATACACTGCACGGTGGGCTGTGGGTGCATGGTTTGCTAGTTGTGCCCATGGCGATTAAGGACCGGTTCACGGGAAACCCTGGAAGAATTTATCGTACTTACCACAAGCCAGCGTGGGCAACGGCTGGACTTGTAGTGTAGCTTTTCTCTAGCCGACGTACCCAGGCGAGGGTGGGCGTGATAGAGTTGGGTCGGCCGGGGTGTCCGGTTGATCGGCTTCCGAATTCACTGCGGCACGAAAGGGGGGCTGCCCGTTGCCTGCTGGGGGCGGGGGCGAACCCTAAGGTGTGGTGCGATCGGTTAGAGGGGGTTATGCGAAGGGTCCTGTCACGGCCTCTTTCCGGTATGTCGTGGTAGCATGTCGGCGCACGGGAACGTGTCGTGGGGCTGTGTCTTGTGGGTACAGTTGTACACCTCTGATCAGAGTAAAACTATTCGAATAGCCGTGCCCGCGGTTATGGGCGGTCGACCAGATTCACCGTGATTAGTCTCACCCCCTAGTTTAGCTTAATGAGCTGGTGTAGTTCAGGTGGTTGGTTGGGCCTGTTACAACGTGATGTAGCGTTGGACAGTGACTGGTTAATATTACTTAATTACTACAACTGTTTTTACTGTTTTCAACTACTGGTTTTAAATGCCTGCTTTATGCAAATGAACCTCGTAGCCTCCTTTGGTTATATCCTGCATCATACCTCCTCTTCCGGTATGACTTGCTGAGTACAGTGGGTAGTACTCAGTCTTGCTCTCTTTTCCCCCACAACAGAGTTGAAGTTCTTCTCAGTTGGAGCCGTCTCAGAGAGGTTGGTTCCGTCGCTGCCGTCAAGGATTGCCTG